ATTGTTAAAGAGAAATGGTAATGTCATTACAGAAATTGCAGCTTCCATGAAAGGGAGAAGAATCGGTTCCATCCTCCCCCTCCCAGCAGACATGGCTACTATTCCTACAAGCTCAGTAGCCCTTGCTCGTGATCGGAGATCCTCATCATTGGTAAGCACCATGAAGGATTTCATTAACTCGAGAACCCTTTCAGCATAAGGAATGAAAGCTTGCTCAGCAGCAGTTGCAACTGAACCAATTGCAGACTGCAAAAACATTACTCAGTGAATTTAAAAAATACAGCCAAAAATAAGGCAGAAAACTTAATTATTAATTGGTTTAATCACATAACTTTGCAGGGAGCTTAAGATGCATCTTCCTTACCATGCATGTATCCTGCAAATTACGAGGGCTATTTTGGAGGGCTGCAAGTAGCTTCCCCATCAAAGGATCAAGGAAAGGAAGAATTTCTTCACCCATGTCCTCACAAAATGCTGCTAAAGCGTAGTATGACTTTTCCTATTCAGATTCAAATAAAGAAGATCATGTGGAATAAAATAGGTCATTTCATCGAAGTCATACGATCGTAGAAATGTGATTTGCATAGTACTTTGATGCTTTTGTTATGTTTACCTTTACTTCATCAGATGCATCCTCAAGAGCATTTAAAATGCAGGGAAGAACACTTCCATAGTGAGACACAATTTCAGGCTGCAAATGCTCAGCAAATTGACCCAAGGCAAATGATGCAGCCCCTCTAACCATTTGTTCTGGATCCCTCAAAGCCCCTAAAACAATATGAAGAACAGATTCCAATTTATGTTTCATCAACTCCAGACAACCCTCTGAAACAACACCTAAAGCCGTAACAGAAGCTTCCCGGAACTTTGGATTGGTGTTCTGACTGCTTAAGGAAGCAAACTCAAAGACAGTGGGAAAGACATGTTTTGAGAGGTTCAAAGCCATAGTGTCAATGACTTCTGCAGCTGCTCGATCAGGAGCAAGATCATCATCTTCAACAGAATCAGTTGATTCTGCAAGCAAGGGGCACATCACTTGCAGAATGGGGATGACCAGGTTATACTTTTTCAGGGAACCGTGTTTGTACTTTGCCAGCCATGAAATTATCTGAATAGCCTGATATGCAAAAAGTATGGTAAGTGAGGAAAAAATTGAAAAAAACAAGACAGAGGTGCAGCTGTCTCAATTACACATGTCAGCTAGATTTAGAATGTCCAACGACACATAATTTGATGCACCTATCTAACCTGATGACGTGTGTTGGACTCCAAATTTTGACTAGAACAAACTTCAAGAGAGAACTGCACAATGGATTTAACAGAGTCTCCAAGAAGAGGTGCAGGAGATTCAATCAGTTCATCAAAGATTTCAAAAGCAATTATTGCAACATCCTCGTCACCAGATGAAAGGCATTGTCTAGCCACATTTAAAATGCTGGGAATAAACTGGCGAAATTTGATCTGCGCACACATATAGCTAAAAGTCAACACTTGAAAATGGTGATAAGCAAAAACCAACCTCAGCAGTGACAGAAGAAATAGTCATCTCCTTTTAAATTGTCTTTGCCTAGGATATGTAGACCTTTAGTGATCACTGCAGAGATTGAATAATTCCTTGCAGAGTGGAGAAGTTGTGATTGACCTAACTATGGGTTTCAGGGAGGAGGGATGGAAAAACAGTATGGATTCCTTGGGACAGGATTTCTTGGCCTCCTTTGGGTGCATTGTTTTACAGGTCATTCCAAGGGTTTCTTTCAACACTAATAGGGGTTGGAAGGCTCTTCAATGATTTTCCAATATTTTTACTTGCTCAAATAGAGGTGTATTATTCTCCATTATGTAAATCAGTTCACTTGCATTCTTACTAAGATTACCTGTTATTTAAAGGTGAGGGATTGAAAGGAAAAAAGTCATTCATTTGGGGCTGTTTGGGGTTCTATGACTGTCTAAACATTACCCATGAGTACCAAGGAGCTAATTTGAACTTTGGTATATTTTATTCCAGACACTAAGAGTCTTAATTGAATATTATGCATTTCATTTTTGAAGCATAGACATATTATGAGCCTTGAAAAATACATAATAATATAGTGTGGTGCAATGCACTGTGAAAAGGTAAATACCATAACAGAAGACAGGAAACACATGACAGGTGCAAATGGAGGAAAAATATAAACCAAAAAATCAAAATATACAAAGTGGTTGTCTAAATTCTGCCACAAGCATACAAACTGACCGCTTCATCCCCGTCATTTGTAAACTCAATAAAAGATCCCACTGCCCTGATAAACAAAATAAATTTTAGTGAGAAACCACAATATTTTTTTTCCTTAATGAAAAGACAAACAACAAAAAATCTTAAAAAACAGTCGTCCATTACTTGAGAGCAGCAACTCTAACACGGTTGCTAGTATCATCCTGCAAACACTTGAGCAAAAGAGCTTGCAAACCAGCAAGATGAGGTTGAAATGCATTCCCAATAGTTTCAGTTAAAGAGCTGAAAAGGATCAATGCCACCTTGCATCACCAAAACAGAACACGACCAATAAGCTACGCTTTCAATTCTTGTAAAACCAGCAGAGACACGTAAATTGTCAGACAGGAAAAAAAAATTGCACACGCACTTCTTATAGTAAGTAGGATCATGCTCAAGAATTCTTGATCAGGATAATCTTGCATTGCAGAATCAACTAGATATAACAATGAAGAGAAAAAAAAATGGCTCTTACTTCTCTATGATCTTCCTGTGCACTTTGACTACATTGAAACAAAAAGGGCAACAAATCAGGCCATTCTCCAGCCGGAACTGCATATTTCGCAATTATACTCACCACATTCGCACTCGCTTTCCTCACTGGAGGACTACAAGATTACGATAAAAATAATTAAAAGAATCTCCGCAAGTATTATTCATCAGATAATTAAAATAATTAATACCTGTGTTCCATGGTGATGCTTTCAATGAGAGATTGTTTGACAAGGAGTTTGAGTTGAGGAGGGAGTTTAGCCCAGTGCCCCGTGATCTTCTTGCGGAGGAGTACGGCGGCGAGCTGGCGGACATTGGGAGTTTTGGCGGTGCGAAGGTGTTGAGCAAGGGCTGGGACCACTTGAGGATCTTTGGCTAACCTCTTAATTTGCTCCTCGGCTTGCCTTCTGGCATCGTTGTCTGGCATCAAGAATTGAATCAGCAGCAATTCAAGTGACTGTGCCATCCTTCCTTCACTTCTTCTTCTTCTTTTCTTTATTGCTTTTCTTCTCTGTGTGTTTTGTGTTCTCTTTCTGTAGAGAGAAGAAGAGAGGGCGGTGGCTATGACTATGCTGCAAAGGGTTTTTGGTTCCCTTGCTTGGTATTTAAGGGTGTCCAGGTTTTGATACCCCCGGCATCCTTTTCAAATAATTTTTTTTTAAGAATAATTTGAGACAGATAAATTAAAGTAAGTTATTTTAGTCCCTGGTTTCTCAGCGTGATTATAATTTAGCTCCCTAATTGTTTTTGTGCCAGATGAGTTGTCATTTGAGATGCAGAGAGAGAGGAGTGAGATTCATATTTGTTTATCCAGTCACATTTTTTTAGTCACATTTTTTTCTGAAACCTTTCCCTTTTCAATCCTTGTTACTTAATTTAGTTTGTAAAAAAATTAAATTACTTTTTTTAAAAAATAATTTTTAAATTTTTAGAATTGTTTTGACATATTGGATCAAAAATAAATTTTAATATATATATATATATATTATTTTAATGTATTTTCAAATAAAAAATATTTTAAAAATAACCATTATCATAATATTAAATACTCTCTTAAATGTTTTTTTAAATAAAAATTTGATTTATTAAAAACACAAAACTCTATTATTCTTCAATTTAACCACTGCATCACCTTCGTTATAATAAAACAAGGATAACGAAGGTCAAGGAGAATAAAGGAAGTATTTAAGTATAAAGGACTGAGTTATAATTTAGTTCAGTACTCAAGGACTAAAGGATAAATTACTCAATGAATCAGTATATTTGTTTTTCGGTGCGCTTACAGAGCAGCGACCAAAAGCTCACCTAATGGGACGTAGGTTAATGCACGGTAAAGCACATGCATCGCCATGGTAAGTACTGACGTGTCTTGATAATTTGTGCCCGAAATATCATTAAATTTCACCTTCTCGTCCATAATAATTCGACATTGATTTATTGTTCTTTTTTATTTTTGTTATTTTTCAAGATTTTATCAAGTATTTCATGATTTCGTACTTCTAACTGTGCAAGCTCACTACAACGGTAATTATAGTTATTTTTTAAAAATTATTTTTAATATTAATATATCAAAATAATTTAAAAACACTCAAAATATATAAATTTAAAGTAAAAAAATAAAAAAATAAAAAAATATTGAAAAATATTTTTAAAACATAAAAATAAATATAAATTTTAAACCACCACCCACAAAATTCACCTCTTCTTTTATTTTCATGGTAAAGAATTGGAGTGATAGTGCATCGGAAGGAAGGATGGAAAATATGTTAACAGATATGTTTTAAAATATTTTTTTACTAAAAAAAATATTAAAATAATATTTTTTATTTTTTTCAAATATCATTTTGGATATAACATATCAAAACAATAAAAAAAACATAAAAATTAATTTTAAATAAAAACAAATCTTAAATCCTTTTAAAACACTGTTAGGCTCTGTAACCAAATTAAGGGCATCTTCAATCATGGATACTCCATCGATGAAACAGAGTAAAAGAACTAACAACTCATGCTAGGAATAAAACGGCTAAAAATGATAGTAGTGACACGAAGAGAAAGCGCGCTTGCAAGACAAATCTACGTACATGCATGTCAAGCGAGTTCAATCTGGCAGGCGCTAGAGTTGTCAGATTCGCAATGGAAACAGCTGGGGTAGCCAGACCTTGTTCTTTATAGTTTGAACTTATTGGCAAGAAAACGGAGAACAGATTGCCCCATTGCCCGAAGCAGGAGCACTCCGGTCTCCCACAATCAATTCCCATAAGTGGATTTCAATTAAGGAACATAGCAAGTTAACAAACCTAGATATCACAGGCAGAAAAGTTACGAAAGAAGCAATGGGTCTTAAATATAGTCGTGTATGTAAGACTATAAAGACACTGTCAGCACGCTTTGCATGCCTATATGGTATCTAACTATCTATGGAGTAAAAAATAAAGAACCAGACTACAAATACGAGAAAGCCATGTTCAAGCCTTCGGCCTCCTTCAGTCTAACAACCGCTACGATAATGAACCAAAGTGTAACCTTAGTTGTTGGATGGACAGGCTCTTCTATCTTTACAGACTGCAACGACTGGCAGAGTAGAATCTGAGTAAATCGTGGCCATGTCTACTTGTAAATCCATTCATTTGCTCGGCCTCCAGACTCATCCATGTCTATGAAAATGCTGACTGCCTGTAGCAAGTGTACAAGAAATACCATTTGAGGTAGATGTAAAGATTAGACAGAAAGAAACAAGACTAATGCATGGGTATGCAAGTATTTCTTCTTCTTCTTCTTCATCATCTTTTTCCATTCAACTCAATCTAGATCATTCATGCTTGTATTCCTCAGATCACAGGACAACTTATATTTCCTGCAAGCATCGTGCAGTGTGAAACATCATTAAATTGCAGATTTACCAGAGTGGACAAGGCATTCGAACACTCAAACTCTCATACTCAGCATAATTTCTATGTAGAAATGCTTTTGGGCAAGATAATCCATAAATATCAAAACGCTTCCCCATACATCTCCCACCTTTGAAGTTAATTTGCATCACACCTTGTGTGCAGCATAATATATAATATATTAAAAGCTTTACGTAGAAATGATCTATCTTCTTCAATAGACAATGACAAGTCAAACATCATGTACTTCCACTCAGACGACTTTACATTTAAGTAATTTGGTTATGTGGAGGAACAGACTCGAGTAATCTGCTCATTGTGAAGTTTACAAGTCAGAGTTTTGAAAGAAGAATGAGTTTATGCTCATGGCTGAATTGAGATTTGAACTGTTTAAGGATTTTGAAAAGGAAAATAGATGGAATCTGAAAGGCATGTTGTTTAAATTTTTGCAAAGCAATGGATCTCAGATTATAAGTACTTGAGACAGGGTCTTCTAATGGATGAAAGGTTTATATATTATGGGATTACAGGTAAAAGAGGAGTTGATGGAATAGGCACAGGAACAACACAGAAGATTTAGAAGGAGCAGGTTTGACAATCCAACTTGCCGTGAAGGGAACGAGAGATGGAAGAGTATGTGTTTGCACATGCTGTGTGTGTGAGAGAGAGAGAGATTCTCAATATAACATCCAGATTTTGGAGGTAAAAAAAAAAAAAAAAACGAGTATGTGTTTGCACATGCTGTGTGTGTGTGAGAGAGAGAGATTCTCAATATAGCATCCAGATTTTGGAGGTCATAAAAAAAAAAAACCTCAAGTAAACAATGCAACACCAACTTACCTTCCCTATCCGAGGCCTCTCTTTCGACTTCTCTAAGCTATTTCTGATATGAGAAACAGCTCCCCAGCATTTCAATGTATTTGCCACATCATCAAGCCTCAATACCTTCTTCAGTAAATGGAAAAAATCCCTAAACAAAAAAAAAAAAAAAAAAAAGAGAATGAGGAATTAATATATTTAACGATGTAAACAAGGAAAAGAAGAAACTCCAAGAACTTCAGCACTCCCATGATTGTTATTTCCATATGTTTTGTGAAGCAGTGACGCTCAGGATAGACTTCAGGATGTTTACGAGCATTAATTGGGCGGGAGAAAGAGAAATTGGCACAAATATTGCATCACAAGAAAATTTTCACATCAACATTCTCTCTTCTCCTGAGAATTTTACCGTGTAAGTTCTCCATACTTCTATCACCGTGGAGTCTAAATTAGTACAATTTCCCTTTAAAGAATCACCTCTACTTGAACCCAGGTCTTTCATATGAAATAACATCATAGAAAAATTTTGTTACCTATCCTTTAATAGAGACTCACAAGTGATGACGACCGTGGTTTACAGACTTGCCATGGAAAGCTAATCTTTGCACGTGGGAAGAAAGTATTTGGCGAAAGAGTGCAATGAAAACCAAGCACTTCTATAATTCAATACATTAACTTTTCACATTTTGATTGAAGCAACCATCTTGCATGCAACATTTTTAAAGAAAAAATCACTGCCTGCTTACTTCTGATAAGCAGCTTTTCTGCTTCTTGGAAAATCTAAATTCACGGAACAATTCTGATACTTAGTAATGCCATTGGTTGTCATAATGCATCCACAAACCAGATTTTGTTTTTATCACAAGAATCAGCTCACCTGCTCCCTGTACTTCCACATGACATTCAAAGCAAGGAGATTTCTACCCATGAATTCCTGCATCATGAAATTTGGAAGTAATCTGTGAATTTCCAGAAAGGAAACAAAAACGTTCAGAAGTAAGGGACATGTATGAATTCGGCACCGTTTGTCTTTATGTTTGAAAAATGCTTTTGAGTACATTTCAATCTGTTTGGCTTGAAAAAACATCAAATTGATACATCTTTTTAGTGTTTCTCGATGGTTTTGATTTGCTAATGTCAAAAATATAAAGAAAAAACTAAGAAAATCATTTTATTTCAAGTGAAAACCATTTTTAAAAAGCCCCCTGCC